GGACACATACACTTGTGCCTTGGGCCGGCCATTCTCCTCGTAGGCGGCGCATATTTTGATCAGCAGGTTGGCAACCTGCCATACCTTCCCCGGCTGCGCTTTGGCGATTCTTCTGATGACGTACATGGCTACTTATCCTTTTTGTAATGCGACCTGGATTAAAACGGCCCTGGCTTTCGTTCCGCTATATTCGTCACTCCCTTTCCCCAACTTTGATAGCAAAAATCATCTGATTCTTGGGTTAACGGTTCCGGAGAGTTGCCGCGTCCGCCCATCGAAAGGAAGTCCCTTTGGCGATTGGAACAGCTTAATATCTGCCCGTGCGAGCATGGGAAACTAAACCAAAGCCAAGTGGCATCTACTGGCGCGGGTCTCTGGCGGGAGGGTAATGGAGCGTCTAACCCTTCTTCCAGAACTGCCACCATCCTGTCGTTGATCGCAGGTCCGCCACCATCGACTGCGCCGGCTGGTCTGGCGCGCCCGCTGTGTCGGTTGTGGCCGAATCCAGGGCGGGCCTAACCCCAGGGTCGACAGTAACGCCCTGGGTACCGAATAGCTCCCAAGGTCTGAAGGACTCCACGAAATCCTTGGCTTCTTCGACAGATGGGAACCCCTTGCGGGAGCGGCTCGGGTCGTAGCTAAAAGTCTTCGCCAACGCGTCGATGCCCCGTTTGGTGTCTCGGAACCCTCCAAGCTCCTCTTCATGGCCGTCGTTTTCGTCACTGAGAATCAGGTTCTCTCCCCTTTTTACCTTTCGCCAATACACTCTCATGCAAAGCACTCCTCGACTCCGGTTTCTAGCTTGACGGTTTTGGGACCTTGATAGTCTCTACTTCTAAAATTTGCTCGCTTGGTCTCGGAGAGGTGTGTTCTCTCTCCAGGTATGGCAACTCCTCGGCGATGGTCAAGTTCCTTAAGTGGCGTGCCCTTTACAAGTTGGGCTGTTGCCTCAGCCGACTGGTGTCGAGGGTGACTGGCCTACGCCTGGCTCGCTTCCCCAGCGCCACCAGGAACATCACGCTTTTACCTTCCGCGTGGGGCGAGAAGAATCCGCATACTTGGTCGTCGTAAAACGTCAGGCCAGAGGCCCCCAGTCTTTGGGCATAGGCTGCCAGGTAGATTTTGCCCGCCGTGATACTGGCATCCAGCTGAGCCAACCGGTAACCCCGGTTACCAAAACGCTCCAGTATCGGATTCAGATTAGTCATGAAGAAAAAGTCGACGCTGGCATCGGCCGGAAGCGGCTGATCGAGCCCCAGATGACCAGCTTGCCGACGGTAGTCTCCTTCTTTCAGCAGCTCCAGAGCCTTCAGGTCTCGGTGGAACACATATGCGCCAGATGGGAGGTCGTCCACAGTCGCTCAAACGATCAGTAGAATATCATTGAGAGCCAAGTGTCCAGGTTTCCGATGAGACAGAGTGAGGCGCGGGTTCATCTGGATTTACGGGACAGTTTTCCACGATCAACCTCTAAAGGTGCATAAATTTCCTTCTGTATAGTCCCTCATGTACGCTGACCCCCTCGGCCTGAGCCTGTGTGGGGACATATTGGTGGCCGGCACGGCGGCGGTGCGCACGCCCTACGGCGAGTGACTTGTGAATTGGGGTCGGCCGTAGGATTTTATGTTTCCCATCTAAGCCCAGGTCTGGGATACCCCCGGGTGAATCCCTGTTCTACGAGCCACCCCCCCATAGCTCCCCCCGATCCTTATTTTCTTTCTTCGAAGCAGGCGAGTTCTGAACTTGTTTATAGGGGTTGATACGGGCCGCGCCCAGGGGAGTTTCTTAATCACATCTTCTTCTTTCTTCAGGGCACGGCGCCGATCCGGCTACTCTGATTCTGTGGGCGCGCGGGACGGTGAATCCAATGAGGGACCTTGACCGGTGTGGCATCTTCTGTGTAGAATCTGTGCAAAGTATGCCCTGCGTGGCACTTTCGAGCACCGTCGACAGCTCCGCGAGGGATCGAGATTCGTGCTGTGGAACGGCGTGCGGACCGCGCCGAACGATGACGCGACTCGATGGAGTCCTGGGGCGTGCTCGCCGTCAGAGTAGCGATCGATTAACGGGTACGAGCGTCGCCGAAGGATGGGGCAGCATTCAGCATTGCCGGGCCTTCGCCTCGCCAAGTACACCTCTGCTTCATCCGTCAGAGAGGAGGCACACGTGCATCTCCCAGAATGGCGGGTAATCAGACCTCGTACTCGAAATCGGCTGAGGATCCAGCCGGCGAAGATGGCTCTATCGTCGGCAAGAGGAATTCGATTGACGGCTCGGGAACGAATCCAACTTGGTACCAACACGAGAGCTACTTCTTGCCGGTTCTCTAGATCCAGCAGGCGGTTAACCGAGCTGTCCACGAATCCGGCCACCACCTTAGCAGGTAGGCCATGCGCGCGGCTATGGCTAAAGTGTTCGCCAGAATGGTTCCGCTTGTCCCAATAGGAGTGGCGGTATTCCCGGGCCTGGTAATTGCAGGCGTTCCGCCAAAATACATCGGTATAGAGGATTATGGCGGGAGAATGGGTTCAAGCTCGGCTCGTGGCACTGGCAGCCACCAGGTTCCCGATAGTCGCCCGGCCGTAGCCGGGTTAGGGACGGCCCCTCCGGGATTATAGTGGTAGACTCGGCTGCTAAACCAGGCAGGTCTCCACATACCACATAAAGCTCAATGTGGTACAGAGCACCGGTACAGGCCGCGGCACGAGAACGGCATGGATCCCAGGGGAAGTTCAACCTCTGGTAATCCAGCTGAGAAGTACAGAATGCTGCTCAAGGTGGTGATATCCAGTGTTCCGTCACTGACTGAGGGAATAACCTCCATGGAGATCGCGGATAGCGCGGGCACCACCGATGGCGATGCAGTCAAACGGCAACGGAATCGCGACCAGGTCCGGTATATTTGAACAGCAGGGTTGGCTCGACGGTTCAAAGGAGTGCCGAGGGTCCATCAGATTCCCGTGGGGGTGCTTGGTGCCGTTGTGGTAATACCAGGTGGCTTGAATTTCTCGATTTACCATAGGTTCCCCTGGGGTTCTCCTGCTGGCGTTCACCGAGCTCTACTAGCATGGTTTCAATAGGGGTTCTCAAAGTGTAAATAGACTGGAGCAAGTTGGTCTATGGCGTACCAGTCTGCTACTTCTGCATCCTGGCAATAGGCCAAACGCTTGCCGATATCGCTGAGCAAGTTTCCGATTTCAACGCCCATGAATTTGGGAGAAAAGGGGGTCAGGGCATATTGGGCGTCGCGGAGCTTAGCTGTCCCTCCATGGCGGTTGTGTCGCTCTAGGTGCAGGAGGCCAACCGCCGCCTTGATCAGTCCATGGTAAAACAAGCGCAGGGGATACCCTTCGGGCAGCCAAAGTTCTTCCAGGGTTTCGTGACATTGCCAGTATTGTGCTCGATTGAACTCGCGTATCGCTTGCCTAAACTTGGCCGGTGGATCGGACGCTACCGGCAAAAAGGGAGGCAGTCCCTCTTGGTGCAGCAATTTTATCCAATCAAGGTCCAGTTTCTGCCTTTCCCCCTTGGCAGCATACTTGGGCAGGTCGCCAGTCGACACAGAACCTCCTTGCATCAACCCTAATGTACCAGTCCGTCTTGTCTTGATTTGTGTCTTCTACCCCCTGATGTCGGTCGGGACAATACCGTTACACGGCCCAGGTGCAGGTGTCCCGCGTCACCTTCCTTCCTGGTTATCATGGCCTCCGAGCACGCGGGTTGGTAATCGGGTTCAGGACGATGTCCGGGCCGCGGTGGCTGGTTTTGCCGCCGACATTAACACCATGACAGACTGGGCACCTGGTCGACCCAGCAGAGATCCCTGTCCCACAATCGACACATCTGCCAGGCCGCGCTTTCTGATCCACCGAGCTCTGCGTCGACATAAGAACCGGAACCAGGTCCTCCACCCCCACCTGGAACTGACGGTCATCATCATCGAAGGTCACAATCGCCTCCCTGTCGCCGATGAGATAAGCCACTCTCCCCCAGCGCCCGCCAATTTTGATTGTCTGCCCCGTTTTCAGCATCTCAACCTCCTCCAAATCCCTTCAAAGCTCTTGCCCCGCCTGGGAGACGGGGGAACGTCCTCTCGTCAGGACTCCCCTTGACTACCCTCTGATTTCCAGGGGCCCTATTTCGCCAATCAGTGAGCCGGTTCTCCGGCCCCTGCTACTATATACCTTACCGAGTTGGGCCAAGTGCTGCGATGCGCGCCTGATGGCCATCCCCACCGGTTCCATGAAACAGTCCGGGTCAACGGCATCCCTCTTCCAATAGCCCACAATGTCACCGTTCTCGGTAACGACAGATTCAGAACGCATAGAACCAAAGGGGAGCACATCAGTGCAGACCCGGTGTTGAGGTAACGGTGTCGCCTGGCGCTGGCCAGGCCGAAGCGGTTGAGGAGAGGGTTAACCGTCTGGCGACTCAGGTGAATCCCTATCGCTCCGCCAGCACCTCGGTGCAGTGGCTGTGGTTGAAGCCGGCGTATCTTTCACCAGCCAGGACCACCACCACAGCGGCGGTGGCCTCGGGAACTGTGTTGCGGGGCTTGTGGCCCCGGTTGCCGTGAGCAACGGCGGCAGCGCCCCTCTCCTGATAGGCTGCCAGGATGCGCCTGGTGTGGCGGATGCTGACTCCCAGCAGCGTCGCTGCCTGGTCCAGTGTCATGTGCTCAGCGAGCAAACTGTTCAGAACCTGAAGCCTTGCCTGTTCTTATTGAGTCAATGTCACATTCTCCATAAGGGGAGTGTGACATTTATGCTGGCCAGTTGGAGCGGACCTTTTCGCTGAACGTCATCAGCCCACGTGGTCCACTTTATCTCCGCCTTTTACAGGCGCAGTCATAACGGCCAACCTGATGATGAACTTCTCACGGCCCAGGAAATAGAACAGCCACAGGGAAAAAGACAGAACAAGCCCGGGACTCCCCGGGACTCCCCGGGCCGCCTTGGGAATGAGAGGATTGCAAAACTCCCAAAAAAGACAAAGGTCTACTGACAGAAGGCCGTTGCCCAAAACCTGAACGACAGGTATAACCACACCATTGCAAAGTACCAGATACGCATCCTGGAAGCCGAGGGGGAAATCAACGGACCCTGACTATCAGCCGCCGGCAACAGGTACCTGCCCACCTCGCCGAAATCCAAGAAGGCTACACTACTATTTAAAAAGGAGCGCCTCATACACATGCAACAAGCACTCTTGCCCAACGAAAGCAACGCCGTTCCGGCGCAGCCCAACGGTCACCCAGCCAGCCCTGATCCAGGAAGCCCTCCTGACCGAAGAAGCGGTTGTTATCGACGAATCAATCATCACCGAAGAACCTGCCGCGACCGACGAACCCGCCGTTCCGGCGCCTGAGAAAACAGTGCAGCCGGCACCAGAAAGCGCGGCCACCTCCAGGGTAGACCACAGCTACACTGCCAGCGACATACAGGTGCTTGAAGGACTGGAGGCAGTCCGGGTCCGGCCCAGCATGTACATCGGCAGCACCGACCAGCGCGGCCTGCACCACCTGATCTACGAAATACTAGATAACGCCGTGGACGAGGCAATGGCAGGTTACTGCACCCGCATCGACCTGAACCTGGGGGGGAACGGCGTAATCTCAGTGGCCGACGACGGCCGGGGCATCCCGCTGGACATCCACTCCACCACCGGCAAGTCAGGGCTGGAGACCGTGATGACCACCCTTCACGCCGGGGGCAAGTTCGGCGGCGGCGCCTACAAGGTCACCGGCGGCCTCCACGGCGTGGGCGGGTCAGTGGTCAACGGCCTCTCAGCCCACCTGAAAGCCGAGGTCCGGCGGGACGGTTTTACCCATTACCAGGAATACGCCCAGGGCATCCCCTCCAGTGAACTCACCCGGGCCGGGCGCACCACCCGCCACGGCACCACCATATCCTTCCGGCCCGACCCGGCGATATTCCCGGAAATCGACTACAACTTCGATACGCTGGTCGCCCACTTCAAGGAGATCGCCTACCTGAACAAGGGGCTCGAAATTCGCTTCGTGAGCCCCTGGCACCAGACCAGCCGCCAGGGTGACATAGAACGGACCTATTTCTTCGACAGCGGCATCGCCAACCTGGTCCGCAACGTCAACAAGAACCGACGCGCCCTGCAGGAGACCCCCTTCTACTACGAAAAGACGGTGGACGACGTTTCGGTGGAGGTCGCCATCCAATACAACGACACCTTTACCGAGTCGGTCATATCCTTCGCCAACTGCATCAACACCCAGGAGGGCGGCAGCCACCTGACCGGCTTCCGTTCGGCCCTGACCCGGGTGATCAACGACCACATCCGAAAGAACAAGATAATCAAGGAGGAGCAGCCCAACCTGGCCGGCGAGGACGTGCGGGAGGGCCTGGCCGCGGTAATCAGCGTCAAGCTGGGCAACCCCCAGTTCGAGGGGCAGACCAAGACCAAGCTCGGCAACGCCGAGGTACGGGGCGTCGTCGACGGGGTGGTCAGCGAGGGCCTCAGCCGATACCTGGAGGATCACGCCACCGAAAGCAAGCAGATCGTCGACAAGTGCCTGACCTCCCAGCGGGCCCGGGAAGCCGCCCGGAAGGCCCGGGACCTGGTCATACGCAAGAACGCGCTTGAAGGAACGTCCCTTCCCGGCAAGCTGGCCGACTGCAGCGAACGGGACCCGGCCAAATCGGAGATATACATCGTGGAAGGGGAGTCCGCCGGCGGCTCCGCCAAGATGGGCCGGGACCGCAGGTTCCAGGCCATCCTGCCCCTCAAGGGCAAGATCCTCAACGTGGAACGGGTGCTCCAGCAGCCGGACAAGATCATCGGCCACGAGGAAATCCGCTCGATCATCGCGGCGCTGGGCGCCGGAGAGGGCAACGAGTTCAACCCGCCCAAGGTGCGCTACCACAAGGTCATCATCATGACCGACGCCGACGTGGACGGCTCCCACATCCGCACCCTGCTGCTCACCTTCTTCTTCCGCCGGATGCAGGGCCTGATCGACGGCGATTACCTCTACATCGCCCCAACCCCCCCTCTACCGAATACAGGTGGGACGACGCGCTCCCCAGTACGTATACACCGAGGAGGAAAAGGAAGCGATGATGCCCTCGCTGGAGGGACAGCGCGGGGTGGCGCTGCAGCGCTACAAGGGGCTGGGCGAGATGAACCCGGACCAACTCTGGGAAACCACCATGGACCCGGAGACCCGCCAGATGCTCCAGGTAAAGATCGAGGACCTGATCGAGGTCGACGACGCCATAACAATGCTGATGGGGGAAACAGTGGGGCCCAGGAAGAGCTTTATCCAGTCCCACGCCCGCAGCGTCCGGAACCTGGACATCTAGACCGAAGGCTCAGTCAACAGGAAAGAGGGAAACCAGCGAAAATTGCGAAACTCCCAAAAAGGCGAAACCGCCACTGACAGAAGCCCATTGCCCTAAAGCTGAACGACAGGTATAACCAGACTATGGAAAAGTACCAGATACACACCCTCAAAGCGGAGGGCAGAGTCAACGGCCCCCATGCCATCGGCCACTGTCAAGGGCGGTGGGAAGTTGGGCCGCTGGGGTGTTGACGTTCAGCGAAAGTGTCCTGGCGTGAATGGCCAGCATAAATGGCCACGCTAATTGTTCATGGGAAACGTCCCGCGGCGGGCAGTGACCGGGGGTAAGGGGGAGCCGTTCTGGTAGGAGCTAGACGTCTTCTGGGCAGTCTGGAGACTGGGGACCGGCGTCCTGTCGGCTGCTCTTGAGGCGGTAGCTGTCGCCGTTCATCTCCAGGATGTGGACGTGATGGGTGAGGCGGTCCAGCAGTGCTCCGGTGAGCCTCTCGGAGCCAAAGACGTCGGTCCACTCGTCGAAGGGCAGGTTGGTGGTGACCAGGACGGAGCCCCGCTCGTAGCGCTGGCTGAAGACCTCGAAGAGGAGTTCCGCGCCGGTGGTGGACAGGGGCACGAAGCCCAGCTCGTCGATGATCAGCAGCCTGAGTCGGGCCAGTTGCCGCTGCAGATTGAGCAGGCGGCGGTCGTCCCGGGCCTCCATGAGTTCGTGGACCAGGGCCGCGGCGGTGGTGAATCCCACCGACATCCCCCGCTGGCAGGCGGCCAGGCCCAGGCCTAGGGCGACGTGGGTCTTGCCGGTGCCGCTGTTGCCGACGGCGATGACATTCTCCCGGTGCTCGATGTACTCGCACCGGGCCAGTTCCATGACCAGGGGTTTGTTCACCGAGGGGATGGCCAGGAAGTCGAAGGTGTCCAGGCTTTTGACGGCAGGGAAGCGGGCGGCCCGTATGCGGCGCTCTACCATGCGCTGGTGGCGGTCGATGAGTTCCAGTTCGGCGAGACGCAGCAGGTAGTCGGGATGGTCCACTCCCTCGGCGGCGCACTGGGCGGCCAGCTTGCGGTACTCCCTGAGGAAGGTGGGCAGCCGGAGTTCCTTCAGGTGATGCTCCAGGAGCAGCGTGGACCGGTTGCTCATGCCGCCCTCCCCGAGAGCAGGGCCATGTAGTCCGTGCGCTGGTGGTCTTCACCGTCACCCGGGGCAGGTAGGGATAGAGGTCCAGATCAAGCGGGGGTGGCTGCCTTCCAGTCGGCACAGCAGCAGGTGCTTCACGGCGTCGAAGCTGATGGCGCCCAGCCGGAGGGCGTCCTGCACTGCGTGGTGGACTTCCTGGTGGGAGAAATTTTCCATGAGCCGGAGCACCTGGACGAATTCCCGCTTGCCCCTCCGTCCCATCCTGGACTCCAGCAGGCGGCGCAGCGTCTGATACTCCTCGGGTAATCCCACCCCTGCAGGGGCGCGGCCTGGTCCAGGGCCGCCGTCTTCCGCTCCAGCAGGGGCAGGTAGTGGATGGGATCGAAGACGAAGTCGTCCTTCTCGTAGGAGCGGGGATGCCGGGCAATGACCTCAGCGCCGCAGCTGATCACCACCTCATTCACGTAGCCCTTTACCAGCACGTCCCGGTGTCCGTAGGCCACCGGCGCCGAGTAGTCATTGGTCTTGTACCGTACCAGGGACAGGGAACTCACCCGGCTGGCCTGCTTGTCGCAGGCATCATAGGGCACGGCGGGCAGGGGCAGCAGCGCTTCCAGGTCCCGCTCCATGCGCTGGCCGATGGTCTCATCGTGGCCCCTGAGCCTGGCGTCCATCCGACCAGACACTTCTGCTCCAGGTGGGCATTCAAGGCGTCAAAGCTCTGGAAGGACGGCACGGGTACCAGGAAGTTGCGCCGCACGTAGCCCACCATCCCCTCCACCTTCCCCTTGTCATTGCCCTTGCCAGGTCTCCGAACCGGTCTCGAACAGGTAGTGGGACTGCAACTCGGTGGAAGGAACGAGTGCGCTGTCTTCGCCGTCCCCAGCCCAGAATCCGGGCCACCGCCAGCTTGGTGTTGTCGTACAGAATGCTCTGGGGAATGCCGCCCAGGAAGGCGAAGGCCGAGACGTGACCGTCCAGAAAGGCCTCGGTGGTCTCCGACGGATAGGCCTTCATGAAGCAACCGTCGCTGTGGGGCAGGTCCAGCACCAGGTAGTGCACCTTCCGTTCCACCCCGGCGATGACCGCCACTGCCTCCCCGAAATCACACTGGGCGTGGCCCGGCGGGTGGGACAAGGGGACGAACATCTCCTGGGTCCGCCGTCGGTGCTCCCTGACGTAGTCCTTGACCGTCGTGTATCCGCCGTCGAACCCGTACTCATCCCGCAGCCGCTCAAAGATCCGCTTGGCCGTGTGCCGCTGCTTCCTGGGGACCTGGCGGTCGGCTTCCAGGATGGCGTCAATTACCCCGGTGAAGGGCTCAAGCCTGGGCCGGCGGGGTGGGTCCTGGCGTCGGTAGCCTGGCGGTACCGAATAGGCCAGCATCTTGCGCACCGTGTCCCGGTGCAGGCCGAACACCCGGGAGGCTTCCCGAACGCTCATCCCTTCCACCATGCAGGCCCGGCGAACCCGCGCGTACATCTCCACTGCAAACATCCATCGCACCTTCCATAGACTGATACTCAGCCTTACGGAAGGCGGTGGACGGTACGATTTCCCGCCGCCGTAAATCAGCCAGCAGAGCCGCCCACGTGGTCCACTTTACCTCCGCCTTTTACAAAGTTCCCACCCCTTACCATGCGTGATAATGGCAATTATAGGAACTCGTGACCCGGCCCTGGCAAGGGGCAAGTGTCAGTGGATCTGGCCAGGCTCATTCCTTCTCGTTCTCCTCCTCTTCCTCTGGGGAAATGGGGTGCTTGGCAAATGGGATTTCCTCCCAAGCCTCGACTCTTGCCTTGGCCTCGATCAGGCCCCGATTGTAGCCGTCGACCAGACCCTTGCGGTAGCCCTCCTCCATGGCCAGGAACCTTTGCCTTTCCTCGGCGCGGCCCTCGGCGCGGGCCTGGGCAATTTCCTCCTTGTACCATTCCTTTACCAGCGCCTCCATGACGGAGTAGTATTTCTGGGCCGCTCTGGCTTTCAGGGCCATTGCGCGGGCCTGCGCGCTTTGTGCCAGTTGTTGAACCCTCATGCCAATACTCCACTTTTCTAGAGTCTCTCTGCCGGGGGCCCGGTCGGGTGTGGATGTGGTTTCGGAACCCGTTCTACACGGGCTCCACCCGTTTAGGATAATACTCCCTGCCGCTGGGGCAGCACCGGCACTCGCTGGCGCTGGGCACCTTTCTTGGGTGCTTCCCTTGCCGCCAGCCTGGTTTGTCCTTCCAGGCCGGGTGGATCCCCGTAGGCGCGGGGCTGACCCTTCCGGGGTACTGGCCGGGTGCCGCCGGAGGGATGGGGTTATAGGACCTGTGTAAGGTCCGGTGTTTTCCTGCAGGTGGTGAATACTCGGGCGGCGTCGAGGACGTCCTTGTAGCGCAGCTCTGAGGCTTCCTCCAGGGACTGGGGTGCGTTGGGTCCCAAGGCGTAGCGCACTTCCTGGTACTAGGCGTCGATTTTGGGATGGGTCCCTTCCTCGCCCGGGACGTTCAGGTGGTTCAGGTATTGCTGCAGGAGCCCTTCTGTTCACCGGTCATGGTGCTCTCCTTTTTGGTGATACACAGTTCTCTTGTCAGCCGGAGACAGGTGGGAGTCTCCTCTACTTTAGCCCGAATCCACCGAAGGAGTGGGGAATAAAGAGGTGCTGAAGGGGTAAGATGGTGCTCCCCTGAATCTGGGATAATGGTTTTTGATCGGAAAACCGACCCCGGAAAAGGAGCACCTTTTAGATGCTACCACTTGGGCACCCCGACCGCATCCAAATCGCCTTCGACGACCACCGCCTGGTCAACAATGCCGGGCTGATCCTTCCGGCCATCCTGGCCCAGCACCTGGGCTTACCCCAACTGGTTGACCGGTATTTGGACCTGGGCCGGGCCCCAGGCCGAGCCAACACCGGCGACAAGATGATGACGCTGGTGGCCTCCGCCCTGGCTGGTGGCGACTGCATTGACGACGCCGATGCGCTGCGTGCGGGGCGGACCTCCTCAGTGCTGGGGTGCATGGTCAAAGCGCCCTCCACCTTGGGCACTTTCCTGCGCAGCTTCCGCTGGGGCCACGTCCGCCAGTTGGACCGAGTAAGCCGCGAGTTGCTGGCTCGTTCCTGGGCCGCCGGTGCCGGACCCGGCGACGGGCCGTTGACCATCGACCTGGACTCCACCATCTGCGAGACCTACGGGCTGGCCAAGGAGGGGGCGCGACACCATGGCTACACCGGCCAGCGGGGCTATCACCCGTTGCTGGCCGTGGCCGCCGGCACCGGCGACGTGCTGATGTCCCGTCTGCGGGAGGGCCGGTCCAACACCGCCCGGGGCGCCGCCCACTTCCTGCGGGAGACGGTGGGACGGGTGCGTTATGCCGGGGCCAGGGGGCAACTCACGGTGCGGGCCGACAGCGGCTTCTACACCCATTCCATCGTCGCCCTCTGCCGCAAGATGAAGGTCCGCTTCTCCATCACCGTGCGCCAGCACGCCCAGTTGCGCAAGCTCATCGAGGCCATCCCCGAGGCGGAGTGGAGGCCCATCCCCTATTGGATGGACGGCGCCGCCGACGTGGCCGAGGCTGAATACACACCTTTCCGTAGCGAGCCCGATGCTGCGCCGGTGCGGCTCATCGTCCGGCGGGTGAAGCCCGCGCCCGGTTCCCAGTTGGCCCTATTCGCCACCTACAGCTATCACGCCTTCATCACCGACCGCGACGGCGACACCCTGGAACTGGAGGCCGACCACCGCCGCCACGCCGAGATCGAGAATGCCATCCGGGACCTGAAGTACGGCGTGGGGCTCAACCATCTCCCCTCGGGCCGCTTCTGCGCCAACGGCGCCTGGCTGGCCGTCCAGGTGCTGGCGCATAATCTGGCCCGTTGGGCAGCG